GGGCGGCGGCGGCGGCAGCGGCGGCGGTGGGGGCAGCGGCGGCGCGGGCGGCGGCGGCAGCAGCGCCGGCGGCGGCAGCGAGCCGCACCCCCTGCGGCTGTGGACGTTCGCATATGCTGCCTTTTTGGCTGGTGAGGAGGGGACCTCGGCAGGGCACAGGGGGCGCAGCATTTGCTGGTGATGCCGCAGAAGCACAGCGCCCCGCTCTCTATCGCGAGCGGGCCATGTCATGTCAGACCCACAGCCCCGCTCCCACCCGCCGAACTCGACGCCTGCTCGCCGGCAGTCGCTGACCCCGCGCCCCTCCCACGCGCGCCCGCAGCCGGCGGCGCCGCCGCGTTTGCCAAGAAGGGCAGCACCAAGTCGCTCACCGCCGCAGGCGGCTCGGCGCTCATCCTCGCGCTGGCCGCGCGCACGATGGTCGGGTCCGGCGCAAAGGGGGCGATCGCGGTGGCGCTCGCGGTATCGGTGCTGCTGACACTCGTCATGTCAAGTGAGCCCGCGCGCATCTCTCAACAGTCAACACCACAATGCCGTGACGCGTATGAACTGACAGAGCCTCAGGGCTGTCTGTATCACGTGCCATCTGCAATACCGGTCTGAAGTGCTCCACGCTTTTCCAGCAAATGACCAACGTGACAGAGAGTTGTGCTGGGTCTCGCTGCGAGCGGGGGCCTGCCGCGGGCGTCCTACACACCCGGACACGCGCACTTACACACACACACACACACACACACACACAATCACACACACACACGTTGCACGCACACGCGCACGCGCGCAGACAAACCACACACATGCACACATACACACACACATTCACACACATACATGTACACAAAACCACTCGCACGTGCACACACACACACGCACACATGCACATGCACAAACACATCCCCCGTCCACCCCTCTCTAAACCACACCCCCATCCGTCCCGCACACTCAATCACGCACCACACCCGCGCCCAGGGCGCTACCAGGCATCCCGCAAGTTCATGCCGGCGGGCCTCACCGCCGCCACGTCACTCCTGATCTCCGCCGCATACATCGGCGCCCTCACGTAATCAGCCATGCGATGTCGTCACCAGGCCGCCTTTGCGGCCGCCGGGCGCTGCCGCGAGGAGGACCGGCGGCAGAGGGCAGGGCTCAAGGGGGGGGGAGGCAGGAGGCGGCGGTGGGGGATGCTAGGTGCGGCCGCGACGTGTTGGAACGCCGTGGATTATTTGGATTAATTGGGTGGCATCAACGCCCCTGCCCAGCACGGATCTCCAAGTCCGGCCGGGCTAAGCAAGACCGGGCGGCTTCTGTTGAGACGCGGCGGGTGCAGGCAGCGGAGGCGGGGCGCCGCGGGCGTCCGGGTGGCGGCTCGCACCGAGGCGTGCGGGGTGGCTGATGTCACACCAGGGGGCCACACCTCCGCTGGCTGGGGCTGGTCATCAAAGGCTTTCTCAGCGCAGTGCATCAGCAACAGTGTCCTCTCGTGTAGTGAGCCTGCGGCGAATGTCCCTGCCCTGCCACGCCTGTGACCCCTGTCCCGTCGCCGGCAACCTTGATTACACATTGCGGTCACCCGACGCCTTTGCATTCCATCCCCCACCTCAAAATCTGCGATCGCGGAGCAGTGCTTGAGTGCGAAACCTGTACATAGATTAGTAAAAGACGCAGTGACTGAGGGGCATTGCGAGGCGGGCGCGCGGGCGTAGTACAAGCTGCTTGCAGCGGGGCGCCGCCTCGGGCCCCGTGAGTTTGCGGCGAGGGCACGAGGGCAAAAGCAAGAAACCAGCAGCGGTGGGCGGTGGGAGGAGGGTTTACGCCCGACAGATGCGCGTGTGAGGGTGGCGCAGGACGAGCTCGAGCCGCCGGGCTGGACGCGGACGGGTCCCCCCTTTCTAGAGAACTTGGGAGCGAATGGGCGAGCGCACACAGCTGCCGCCGGGTGCCTAACCGACGCAGTAAGCCACGCGGTGTGTCAAGTCTTGGGAGAGGCAGCGGCGGCGGCCGGGGCCTGTCATTTGAGGGTCGCGTCATGCCCGGGCCCGATGACCAAAGTTGACGTCAGGTTGCGTACAGGGCAAGACCACCGCGGCTGGCCGAAGGCGGCTGCTGCGCCGTGCGGGCCGCGCCCCGAGCAGCGGCGGCGCGGAGGGTGCGGGCGCCCTGTGCCGCCCGAGCAGTGTTGCAATTGTCAGTGTGCCATACTTAGGGGGCTGCGCGGCAGTGTGCTGGCCGGCCCAACCACTCACTTGCTGGGTGCCGCTGGGCGCATTGCACGCAGCCCGCGGCGCAGGGCGAAGCGCCCGCGCCGCCCCCTGCGCCGCACTCAGGTGCGGAGCAGGCGGCGCGCGCGGCGCGGCCGAATGACTCGCGGGCGCCCCGCGGCGGCCAAGGGCCACTGAAGTAAACGCAAACAACTAAACTTTTGGCGCGGGGTGACGCGGCGCCCGGGCGTTCGGGCGGCGCCCGGCTCTGCTCTTCCAGGGCAGCCCAGGCGCCCGCCAGTATGCGGCCGCGCGCCGCCGCGCCGATTCGAAAAGTTTGCAAGGATGAGACGGCCTCTTCCAAAAAACCCCAGAGCACGTCGAAGGCGCCCCCGCGCCTTCCATCAAACCCCCGCCCCGGGCGCCGGGCGCCGGGCGGCGGCCGCAGCCGCGGGCACGCGCGCCGGGCGGGGCGCGCCGGGGCGGGCAATCAAAGCGGGCGTGGGGGGTGCGTGGCGCCCGGGGGCACGTGGCGCCGGCGGCGCGCGCGGCGCGGGGGGCTGTGTCGCATCTTGTACTGCACGCGGCGGCCCGGCCCGTCACAGGCAGGGCGGGGCGGCGCGCGCGGCTTTGCTTCACATACGATACACCATACAGCCAAGTTGCGCAGCAGGACAGGCATGGTTCATTGCAAGGAGCGGAGCGAGCGGCAAACAGGGCCGCGGGGCAAGGCCGACACCGGCGCGCGGCCTCGGGCCGTGCGTGCCGACCGCGTCTCTGCTGGGACAGGCGAGGCGGTCGGGCGGGCGCGTGCGCGCGCGCGAGAGAGAAATAGCGAGAGTCTGGTCCACCCTCGAGGCCCGCGCCGACGGGCGGCGCACGCGGCCGGGCGGCCGGGGCCGCCCGGCGCTCAGTGGCCGGCGGCCGGCAGCGCGCCCGCGAGGCGCGTGGCGGCGCCCTTTAGGGCGTCGACCACGAGCATGATTTCGGGGATAGCATACTTCTCTATGTGGCACGACTGCGTGGACTTCCAAAAAGTGAAGTCCGCGAGCCCCCAGAGCCACCCAAACACGAGCACCACCCGCGCCGCGACGCCCACCGCGCGCAGCGCGCGCCCCGCGGCGCGGCGCG